TATAAGGATCTTCTGTTTCTCCTGAGTAGTGAAGCCTAGCTGGCCAGCTGAGTCCTTCAACGGGGGGGACTTGTAGACCCTAGTGCTCTGGTGCCACTTGCATATTTTAAAAACATCCTTGCTCTTTGTAGCTTTGTCAATTAGGTTGCGGAAATGCTCTCCCTTCGCCTTCCGGATCTCATGTCTCAGAGCCCTCTGAAGATCTTTCGCAGCCTCTGGGCTAGCTCCGAGCCTTCGAGCTTTTCTAGCCTCGCTGGCCGCTGACTGACACCCCTCATTCCACCATGGATGTCCGATCCAATGCCCAAGGCCTGGCTTAGCACTACTGACATACGCACTATGTACGCATTCAATAATAAATCCTGCTAGGGCCTCTAGCGATTCCATGTCTGGCTGTTCTAGAATCTCGTATAGCCATTGTGCTTCTAGCTTTCCTTCTAGAGCTGTCTTAAAGGCTTTTAGGTCGAGAGTGCTAAGCTTGAGAGGAGGCTGCCCCTTGGTTAAGCCTCTCACGCATGGCAGGCGAGTAAGAATAGGAAGGTGGTCTGAACCAGACTCAAAAGCCAGGTTAACCTCTGTGGCTGTGCCCCTTTGATAGCGGCCGCTAGAGCAAAAGGCTAAGTCAAGAGTGTTCCCTAGATTATGCGTTTGTGTGCCAGGAGGGGTAGTAAGCTGTAGCCCTCTGTCCTCTATCCAGTTGATAAGCGAGGGTGCCTGTGCACTCTCTTGGCCAAGGAAGTTCGGTTGCCAGAGCTCGCTCTTTAAGTTAAAGTCCCCAGCTAGGAAGAGGTTTGTTGTAGAGATATGTTGAGAGCTAAGGACAAGGCTTATAGCCTCACCTGCTCCCTTAGCACCTAGAGGGGCNGCTCTTTAAGTTAAAGTCCCCAGCTAGGAAGAGGTTTGTTGTAGAGATATGTTGAGAGCTAAGGACAAGGCTTATAGCCTCACCTGCTCCCTTAGCACCTAGAGGGGCATTGTATACGTTAAGTATATGAAGTGCGGGGCATTGAGGGAGTGGAATTTCAACATAAACGAGGTCGCGGGATTTGAGCGAGGGGGCGATAGGGGTCCGTTGGCTAGCAAGGATTCCAGCCCCTTTTCGTACAAAAGTGAGTACTCTTGGTGGATCCATGCTCCATTCGCATATAGGCGTAAAACAGTCGTAGTTTGGGTGGCGTCTTGTAATCTGGCGGCTGATATCTCTTAGGTAGATATATGGCTCTTGAATTAGTACTACATCGACTCGCTTATAGTGGGCTAATTGTAGTACTAGCTCCTGGTATTAGCTAGACTTGTGTACATTGATTTGTAGGACTTGGAGGCAGTGGTTCTTAATAAATCCTTGTCTACTCATAGTACAGTAAAGTGGTTAATGTCCGGGGTTCTCTCCCTAGGGAGGTCGTAGTACGCCTCTTCTACTGTCGTAGCAAGGGGCTTATTGGCTCGTTGGAGGATTATAGACGGGGCTGTAAGAGGGCTATCTATGCTGGCTTGAGGGGGGGGATTCTGAGGGGTAGTAGGTAGGTCCAGGTCCATTTCTGTGTCCACGCTGCTGCAGGGAGAGTCTTCCTCTCTTCTTATCCGCGTCTCATTCCATGCTTGCCGGATTGCTCTCTTGTTCTCGGTTGAGGGGTGAGCCCCTGAGGCTTTTGGTCTGAGCTGGCACGTGGTGTCGTCAGAGGCGTGTGGGCCACTACAGTGTAGGCACTTCAGTTTACACTGAGAGTGTCTAATACACCTAGGGTGGAAGGCTTCAGAGTGTTTAGTGGTACCGCATAGGCGGCAACGCTGGTTCTTCCCACAGTTCCTTGAGTTATGCCACATCCAGCACTTAGAGCACTGTGTAACAGTAGAGACTTTAGGAAGGCGCTTAAAGAAGGCTCTTCTTCCAAAGAGAGACGTCATTTCAGGGATGGTG